GGTAAACTTTCAACAACAATAAATGGTTGTTCTAAACCATCTGCAACAAGTGGCGAATTCGACAATGAATGCTGACGATAGCAAGAACGCAGAGTGGTATGCTTCAACACTACTGATGCAACTGATGGCAAACTCTGCAACAGCAAGTTGATGCTGCTCCACACCATCTGCAATACAGATAACGAACTCGACATTGTGTAGTGACGAGTTATGCAACAACACAGAATGATATGCTTCAACATCACTGATGCACCTGAAGGCTAACTCTGCAAGAGCAAATTGGTGCTGCTCCACAAAATCTGTAACACAAATAACGATCTCGACATTGCATACTGACGTCATCTGCAACAACAGAGGTGTCTCAACACCATTCAGGCAACTGAGAGTCTGCAGCAGCAAAATAGTGCTGCTCCATCCCATCTGCTACAGATAGCCAACACGACATTTAATACTTACGACATACGCAACAACACGGAGTAGTATGCCCCAACACCACTGATGCAACTGGCGCCAAATTATACAAAGTAAATGGTGCTGCTTCACACCGTCTGCAATAGATATAAACTCTGCCATGAATTCTGACGATATGCAACAACATATTGATGCTGTTCAGCGAAGGGTCCGTCTGTGCACTAGCAACGTGTTACTCAACACAGGTGCACGAATTTTTGAATCAGAAACGCTCCACCACATTTGACAGAATCTGCAAGCGCATTGGTGCAGCTCAACGAGATGGAGTACGGGTCTAATGAGGAGTGGTGTTTGTACGCTGTTTGGCAGCTGATGATGATCCTGCCTGCGACAACGAGATGGTGCTGCTGAACACCAACCGCAACAAGATAACGAACATTGAATCACAGTGCTGATGATCATCTCCAAACATTAATGTTGCTCAAGAAGATTTAGAATACGTGTACAGGGTGGGCCAAGATTACCGGCGCGTGTTCCTCTGGGTTCAGAAGGATACTAGACGGATTTGAACACGGATTAAGTATGCATTTGCTTTCACCAATCATTATCGTAATGCAATAGCCAAATCAGAATTTGGCTGATTCATATCTTTTTGATAACCTTCTCTCTTGCTTTGTGATTGTGCCAGGAAATAGAACAAGCCTTCGCCTCAATGCTAAGAAGTACAGGTTTTGGAAATAGGTTCGAAGAGATTTTTCGATTTTGCAGAACATTGAGAGGTAGCATACCGAAAATTGGTGTAATTTCGGCATTCTTGAGTGCGCATTAGGACCAGAAAATGTCTTCTGAATCACATTCAAACATTCCAGTTAGTCAGTCATGATAGGTACTAATCTACATGTCTCATTGATAGATAATTGTTTTTTTACCTGAAATTTTTTTTGCATGTTTGGGACCTCATAGATTTTTAACTAAGGTCACGCGGATAAAAATCCTATTTTTGCTTTTCTTGAAATTGCTAGTCTGATTCTTCTATTTCTCACCTTCTTGAAAACAGGAGTTTTTGTTTTTTTTTCTGCAGAATGTATTTTGTAGATTAATTATGCCTTCTATGGCATGTATTTGCTTTTTTTTCTCAGTGGTTTCTTTTCTGTGGCAATGTTTATGAAGTTGGCGCCGGTAATTTTGGCGCACTCTGTAAAAGCATTGATGATAGTGCGCCTTTGCACTAGTTGTGCAACTACTGATGACACTGCGCCACAGGATGCTGCTGCTAGACCCCACTGCAACAAGTACTCTGCACCAGTGTTGAAGATTAACTGATGCTCAGAATATTCAAAACAAAATTCGACAGACTCTGCGGCTACTGATTTGCTTAGCACTATCAGCACCAAGCATTAACTGATCAATTTTGTAGAAAACGAAGCGGATTGTGCAGGAGGAATAACTCGAGCATTTGAAATTCACAAACTTTGTCGCAACGCTTCCCAGTGACATCTATACGAGAAATTCATGAGCACTGAAGGAACAAATTTCAGCTTCTCGTGCCGACAAAATCTGCAACAACGAGATAATATGATGCTATCTAGCCCTTATGCACCAAGCGCAAAGGCTCTACTAATGATGAAGTCAAAGCAACAGAGCGGTACCAACAACCACCACACGTTTATGTGGTGACTGACTCCGTAACAATAGAGCGATGCTGCCTGGTTTCAATCACCGATTGAACAATTATGGCGGACCTTATAACGAATTTCACAACACTATTTGCAACAAGCAACAGCTTACGAACTCTGCAGCAGCAAAGTATCTTGAAGGGAGCGTCTACAGAAATCCTCTCCTTCCATGATTCTTTCATTCTTAGGCCTTTCCTGGCTGACTTCCGCTATGAGAATTACGAAAATTAGAATAATGAAAATGAAAAACCCTTTTCCAGAGATAGTTTGGCAAGAGCGGATGGGTGTTTCAGCGCTAGGCGTCGTTCGCTACATATAATGTAGTCGTGTGCAACAGGGACGCGGTTACGTAGTGTGCGCCACAACTTTGCTTGCCACGTCATAGGTAGGTGCCAGACTTATCCGGTCCAACTAGTTCAATCGGTTCATCCGCTTCACCCTTTTGCTATTGGTCAAATCACTGAATGCCCGAATGGGGAACCGGTCAACCACCGAATGGGGTGAACCGGTTGAACCGATTAAAGGCAACGAACACCCAAAATTTCGCCTTCAATGTTTTGTCAGTCTTGGGCCTTTCCGGCGAGGAGCAGCTGCAACTGCATGACAACCTGCAGTTGCAATTGCAACTGCTACATATGCTGTCGTGGTTCGTCGTTGAAGGAGGCGGATCGCAAAAAGCAACTGCACTGTTGCAACTGCACTTGCAGTTGCAACAGCATTGCAACAGCAACTGCAACGGCAACTGCAGCTTATGCTGACGTGGATTTCGTCCGAAGGAGGCGGAGTGAAAGAAAAGGGGCGGAATGAAAGAAAAATCAGGCGGATTTTCTCCGCTCAGAAGCAACATCGGTAGACCGGAACGCAGTTGGTCTTCTTCTGGGTCCTAGATATATACGGTATAGAGAACTTGCTGACTCAGATTTTGGGTGTGGGCTGCCTTCAAGCCTGCCATCCGCAGGGCATACTTCACGCGATCTCATTGCATCGCGTTCCCCCAAAAAGGCAACGGTTCATTTCACTGCATGCCGATCAGCTTGCATTTCAGTTGTGATAGTTTTCCGACACCACTAATGCGACTAGCTATCACAATCAAAATGCAAGATGGTCGGCGTGCAATGGACTCGTGACGGTTATCTTGTTGGGACAATCGCGGGGCGATGAAATCCGTGATGTATGCAGCCCCTAATGCGCCAGTGAGATTCTTTGAGGGTGGTGCGGAAAAAGGTGGCGGGAGGATTACGATTATCCGGATTGTATAACTACGTTCCTTCTGCGAAATCAAAAAAGAGATCAACACGGATGCTTTACTTCTACGTCCTGCTTAGAGACCGCTTAGTAGTCAATGGAGCATGTTTTTGGGTGAACGCTGCCTCAATTTCAGTACAGCGATTTACATAGGATTAACATTATAGTCGCCGAATATTCATATTTGAATAACTTATTCAAAATAAGAGTATCTGAAAATTAGAATAGTCGAATATTCGAAAAAGTCCATTTATTCGATTATTCGAATAGTCGAATGATAAAGATCTTTAATCGAATAATTCATTCATTCGACGACTTTGAAAAGTGACTTATTCGAACATTCGAATATTCGAGTTTTAGATAGCAGTTGTTCCAAGCGAATAATTTACGAAAGTCAATTATTCGATATTTGTTCATTATTTGTTCATCGAATCCCCGTTACAACTATAGTTAATACCAGTAGCAGCGGCACAACTGCATTTTAGCAAACGCTTCTCCTCGAATGTGTGCTCGAGGTTGCCTTGAAGATAAGTCCGGTCAAAATCTCTGCCCGATTCGTAATCTGCTGCAAAAATGGTGCTACGCAACACCTCAACAACCATTCTTGCGTACCCGCAACATCGAAGGTGGTGCTCAACACTATTCGCAACAGGTGGTGAAGGGAACTAAGTGTTATGATTGCAACAAGTGGCTCAAGTATGCATTCGCAACAGAAGTTAACGGAGCCTCCAGATTATTGCTTCTCACGCCAACTGTGACAACATCTGCAAGCATTGTAACCACTGTGCTGCTTAAAGACAGTGTCTAGGCAAATCTGGGTGGATGGGTTTTCCGCCTGGAAATTGATAAGGGGGTTCTAAGTAAGGCACTGCCTATGGGGCAGCGCAAATTGTTCATTCACGGCTGAGAAATCCGTCCCCAAAAACCCCGTGCCTGCACCGTAACCGTAACCCGAAAACGACTTAGTTCAACTTAGCTCACTTTAACACCGAAAACGACTTAGCTCACTTTAAGACTACGTTCGCGCTGGGACCCATTCTAAGTGTTACGCTCACGGCGCAGCCGAAGAGTAGGCTTGCGGGTTTTCTGTTCCGAAGACTAGGTCTGGGGTTTTCTGGAACGGGATTGGGTTTTTGCGGATTCCGGCCTTCACATTCGGAATCAGGGGCACGAAAAGACCCCGGACGACAAAAACATGGAAGTCGGGATTGGATGAACGGTGCCTCCAATACTACCCGCCATATACTACTCAATCACATAGTATAGGCAGTCTGTGTAGGTGATAAAAAATGATAAAAAATACGGACTCGCATGACTACTCTTTTACCGTGTTTTTCCGACGCTTTCTCTGTTCTCTCCTCCATTCCCGAACTGTCTTCGATGGAAACAGCAGCGCATTCCGCGCAGAACGTGGAAGCCATTTTGTTGACGAAATTTGCAGCACAGATTGATTCGACTAGGAACTACTTGCGTAATCATGGAATGATGCTGACCTCGCTTTGGCAGAAATTGTGGTATGTTATCGCGGGTGGTGTTTCGCCTCTCTGCAGTGTTGTTGCGGAGTTTGTTGCTATTGCGATACTTGTTGCAAATGGTAACATGCAGCATCACTGTGTTGCGTTATCAACAGGAGGACAAAATCATATTTATCTTAATAATTACATAGATTTAGTTTTCCTCTTCAGAATCAGCAGCTGATCCTTCTCGTTTCCTGTAGCTATCGTCAAAGTTATCGTCTGCAAACTTCCATTCAGATCTCTTAGCAAAGTTTCTGCAACAATAAAAATCCTGTTAAACAATTGTCTCATCTCTAACAGCTCGCACCTGGGCTCGTAGCGTCCGTAATTATTGAAATATGTCATTAGGCGATTATAGAAGTGGTTAGGAGTTGTTCGTGATCTTCAATGGAAAAATTAACGGAGCAAAAATATTGTTAATCTTTACCTTGCTTGGAAGTACTGCTCTGGAATGAGTGAATGCTCGACACCATAAAAAGTATGCGCCCCAAAACTTGAATCGAGATCGTTGGTAAACAGATAAGGACCTGAAGTATGTTAATTCAACGCCTTCCAAAACATTATAGGGGTATGCTTATTGCTTGCTTATCGCCGCCGTCAGACAGATAGCCTAGAAGTGGGACCAGAATAATGGTAATTTCACCTTTATTCCACTTTCTTCCACTCGCACACAAAAAATAAGAGGGTCTTGTACTGTATTAATACTGCAGTTCACCACTAGGTTAGATTAAGATTTTTGGAGGAAGCGTAAGTTATTTTGGGATACTTCCCACATTTTTCGCAAAGTTCAGCTCTGAAATTTTGAAGAATGGGGGGGGGGGGGGTGGCGGCACTTACCCTTTGAGAGAAAATTCACAGGTTTAATTAAAATCAAGAAAATCAAAAACCATTCCAATTATTAGGGAGTAAAATTAGGTACATGTACGATGTTTTGGCTCGGTAATGGAAATCAACCTATCATTTTTGATAATGAGGGTCAACGATCTTGTTACCTGCTCCGAAAAGGGCGTTGGAATCTGGAGTTGGTCCATAACTAGGTGTAGCCCTGCAATCTTACTTTTATTTTTAAAAAGAAAAACGATTTATGTTGATTACATCTCAACAATATTGACGTACATGTGCAAATCTTGATTTCTTGGTAGTTCACCCTTATAAGATCCATATCCGGCTCTGTATGCATATCTATCGAAAACGTTCTTGCTGGAAAAGATAGAAATTGAGGCAAAATAAGAGAAGGACAAATACTGCAATTACTTACCCAACAAATGGGCTTGAGAAGCTCTCCATTTTTCTCCTGCGAAATCTCATCCTCCCATCGTTGCTGTTTTCGACTGAGCGTTCTGAGATTGTTATTACACTAATGTTATCTTTCCACTCGAAGACTTTGTATAATAAATGCAAAATGAACGAAACACTAACCTTCACTCCCAAAGTCATTTTCGGGCCCATAACCACTCATCTGCGAATTTGTCAACTTTGGCTGAATGACGAAGGAATGTACGTTTATAATGTTGACAAATAGTGTCAAAGATTTGGTGAGCATAGCCGTTGCACTATTTGACCTCGTGATGAGCATTCTGCTTGCTTATATAGGGGGCTCGCATGACAGCCGCGTACTGTCCTTGATAGCTTTTGTTCTGGAAGTCTTCTTATGTCAACCTGAATCCGAGCGAATGTTTGTGGAGGGCATGTTTCGAAGTATCATAGGAGCTGCACGTCCTAAACGATTATATCGCATTTGAGTGACGCAAAAGAGGAATGTCAAGTGTAGCGAAACTTTGCAAATTCCATTGCTTCTTTTATTTTCCAAAAAAATCAGCTTTTGAAGACTAGAGCAATTCCCAATTTCTCAGTTTTATCTGTTTTCCAGCCCTTTTCCTTGCTTTTTTTTCATAAGTGCAGTGGTGGAGCTGCTTTAAGCTTCTTCAGAACTTCTTTGATCAAACAAAAAATTAGTATATTCTTGTTGCATACGGCGACATTTGCTGTTGCATGCGATGGGAGGAACGCCGGAACACTAGTCCACGCCCCTCAAATCAAAGTTCCAAAAAATAGCTTTTTTGGAGTTTTCACGTAATTTGCATCCCATATTCAGAATCAAGGCTTTGGAAAGGCCTGAAAACGATAAAAACGTTGGAGACGAAAATCTGGGTGGACGCTGCCTTTGAGCCTCCTCAGTTTTCTATCTCCTGTCAAACGTTTTTGTGCTATGAGACGTTAGTTTTCATCTGAAGCGCTTTTGAAAAATACGGGATACGTTTTTCAGTGGTTTCTGGCCTTTTGGCATACTGTGTGAGCAATGGACGCAATCTCACAGACCCTCACGCTCACATACAGCCCTATAGGAGTCAAGTCTCTGCAGAACTTTGGCGCGCGGCAGACTTATATTAGGTCGAAATGACAGCATCATCCTGCCTACCTACGGCTAATCAAGTTGATTTTTCAATCTTGGGACATCTATGAGCAATGTGCAAGATAATCTCCTTTCACCCATAAGCCGAGCTTTTTATAGATTAGTGATTTCAGCGACGTTAGAAATATGATCGTTGCATAAGCTTTTTTCAGAGATCGCGGAGTAACATCTTGCTCGCCGGATTCTCACGCAGTTTTGAGAAGGAGGGATCATAATGAAATTTATAGGTGTCGATAAAAAACTATACTGATCGGCACGCTGCATACCGTTAGATAGGAGAAAGCAGTCTCTACAAAACTATGGTAAGCACAAACATTATTAATGTTTCCTATGAAAATTCAGGCGAGCGTAAAGCATAGGTTTTTGACGTAACCCACATCTCAACTTCCACAAACGTTATAAAACCCTCACATGCTCTAATACTAAATGCACAGTTTGTGCGAAATTTGAGCTTTAACAGTAAGAAGAACGAGGTAATCAAAAAGTGGCGTCCGCCCTCATTGGTCCCAGGCTCCTCCCACTTGCTTAAATATCAGCTACAGGCGAGAGGGAGTACAGCTGCAAATTCTAAAATCTTCAGACAAAAAATTCAGTCTGAAGATGTCCGAGAATTTTCGAACCAACCTAGTAGTAAAAATTAAAATTTGAGAAAAACGCAACAGACTTGGACACCAATGAGGAACTCCTGTCGCTCACCTGTGAGTCCGACGTGACCACTACCAGGGTAAAGCGGGGGGTGCGGCACGCCGCAGGGGTGGGGGGTCGTTAGGGGGGGGGGGGGTGGGTAGGGGGGGTCGTATCGACCCAAGGTCAAAAGCACTTGTACAAGCTGTGTGACTAAATTGACTTAAATTCTGCAAAATTCAAGTTCAACGACACAAACTTGCAGATACCGTATGCCTACCGTAACCTACCGTACCTCCAATCAAGCATAATTGTCGTAATCTGCGTGTCGAATAACCCCTATGCGCCAAGTTTCAGCGAACTCTGAGGTCTCCGAGCAGTAAACAACCTTGTATAAAGCAGTAATTTAAAACATGATTAACTTTATCTTAACGGTGAGTAAGCTACCTCTTCTTGCACTCAAGACAAAGCACTACTCCTCCTTTGTCCACCTCAGAAATCCCGCTTTAGAAGACCTCCAAACTGTGGAATTAGAAGCCAACCAAAATCTCGTTTTTCCCATTTTTCGCTTTTGATCGCTGTGCTTTCACCAAATATTACTCAGAGCTAAGAAGACGAATCAGGCTCAAATCACTCCTGTGAAAACTAGGTGATCTAGGCTATCGATCCATATAAATACTGTCCGCTAAAAATGTTTTTTTGATATAGTTAATGGCCTGCGGCACCCCCCCCCCCTCAAAACCTGCGGCTGCAGCAGGTTTTGAGGGGGGGGGGGGTGCCGCAGGCCATTAACTATATCAAAAAAACATTTTTAGCGGACAGTATTTATATGGATCGATAGCCTAGATCACCTAGTTTTCACAGGAGTGATTTGAGCCTGATTCGTCTTCTTAGCTCTGAGTAATATTTGGTGAAAGCACAGCGATCAAAAGCGAAAAATGGGAAAAACGAGATTTTGGTTGGCTTCTAATTCCACAGTTTGGAGGTCTTCTAAAGCGGGATTTTTGAGGTGGACAAAGAAGGAGTAGTGCTTTGTCTTGAGTGCGAAAACGGATAGCTAATTCACCTTTGAAACAAAGTTAACCATGTTGGAATTTGACCATTTCACTTAGGTAGCCTAGTATCTTGAATCTTCAGAATTCGCTCAAACTTTCTACAAGGGTTAATTGACATGCTCATTATGGATATGTTGCCCATTATGTTTGACAGGGCCTCCAAGTAATGCTATCTTAAGGGTATAGTCCAGGGGGGGGGGTCTTATTAAGACAGCAATCAGGGGGGGGGGGGGGTCGTAATCAGCGATCGTGTGCCACACCCCTTGCTTGACCCTGACCACTACACACCTCATGGCCACGTCTGGGTAGCACGCATGCCCCATAAGATCAGGGGGCTATAACTTGCTCCAGAATAATGCATTGCAGCTAATAGGTTCACATTTGCTCTCCCAAGTACCGAGTCCGAGTCAACACATCTCAATGGGCCATTTTGATCCTGCGGACTTCCCTTGTGAGAGAAGACTGGTAATTTGGTAGCAGTCTGATCTGCGTGCCTCGTAGGTACTCATTCGCCTTGGAGGAGCGAGGGGATATTTGACATTCCGGTGGTACTCATTTTTTGGAATAAGCACTTCTTCACGGGAACAGTTGAATAGACCGTGCTGTTTTTTTTTTCGTGCGAGCATCAGCGGTCCAAAATGTATTAATCAAGATCTTTAGAAGAGTAGGACATGCTTCCATTATTTATGGGGCTACCAAATTCTTGCAATCTTTTTGCTTCAACCACACTGTGTACCTTTGATCTTTACCTTAGCTTTACACGACTTCAATGCAGATCCTTGGAAAACATACATTGCAGATCTTTGCCCATACACCCAAATGAAGCAAAATAAACATCTTAAGCCCTGATCTGGGCTACAGATGACAGCCAATGCTATGGGATTTGTAGAGCCACTACGCAAATCTGTGAACACGGTGCTGTTCTCTGTTTTAGAAGATGAAAACAGCGATTGAGTTGAAAGTATAATACTATTGAACCTTCTGATACAGTTTTGCTGATTTATTTTTTTCTTGTGAAATATGCGAAAGCTTATTTTACGATTCTTGATCGGTTGGGAGGCTCTACAGACAACTTATGAAATGAAATATGTGATACTGACTTGCAAGGGAATGTTCAGAAGTCGAAGTGCTCAACTCAAGCAAGCTGCCTACCGTTCGATGCAGTATTCAACTCTGAGGTGAAATCTGTACTCCATATCTGCTTAGCGCCATTGTGGACGAAATTAGAGCAGTTTTTTTTTAAATCATGCATAAAAATTGTGATGAGGACTTTGTTGCACTTTCACCTCACCTTTGGGCTTCAAGAATATTAGGTAAACTAGCTGCATGTTCTGACCCACCATTGAGCCGAATGGCTTTGTACCGCCAAGTTTGTCTTTTGCATGCACGACTTCTCAGCAAATCAACGGCGTTTGATGGTTCATAACTTCGCCCATGTAGGCGCTAAGCAGATATGGAATACAGATTTAAAGTCAGCAATTTATGCTGCTTTTAATGATATGCAGATTGTTTGGATTGGTCACTTCCATTTCTGACCATTCCCAGAATTACACTTATTGTTGGAAACATTCTACACAGGGTGTTCCAAAAGCGTACGCACCATTCACTCGTTGATATAATATCTCTTCTCACAAAGCATTTTACAGGCATTTAAGGTACTAAACAGAGCTGGCTTTGACTTATTGTTAGATATAGAATGTATAGCAAATCACCAATCTCTCTCTCTCTCTCTCTCTCTCTCTCTTTATCAATGTAGGATTACGTTGAGAACTTTAAAGAGGGTTTTGAGCCAATGAAAATGGCATTTTGTTGAAGAAAGAAAACCGAACAAGCCAAAAGCTTTCATACCACGTTGATCAAAGTCTAGTAAAATACAGTAAGATATCCGGAGCTTCCGATATTGAAACTTGCACTCTGCCGTAACGCTTCGTTCATAAATTGCCAAGTATACCGTGGAAACCATTTCCCCGATGTTTCTTGAAAATGTAATCACTCCATTTTGGAAAACTTCACAAGCTCGTATGTAGTCAGGCAGTAAAATAGCGTGGAAAACAAGCTACACCTGCTGTTAGACTTTTTGTGTTTTTTTTGGAACGGCAACTAATCGTTATTGGTGCTTCATATTGGAAGCTTTTAAGCAAACAGTAATGAAGAGCGATCAATGATTCGCTTCATACTGTGAACATAATTAAAGGCAGCTCTACAGATTGGTGACTGGTCGGCAAAAGACCCTGTGGAAAGAGAGATATCAATGATCAACAATGCGAACCCCTTGATTCAATAAGATTGGCGCTGCAGACCGCCCGCGACGCAGTCTGCGTATCTCTCTCTCACGAGCGTGCACTCTGGTCATTCTCTAGCCTTAAT